CCTGTTGGCCATTATTGAAGGCAATAAGTGCTCTTTTTAGCCATCCATTATGATCCGTATACTGTTATTGTCAGTAGGCTAATTGCAACATAAAAAATAAAACTTCAAAAAGACAAAATAACTGAAAAATCAAATAAATAAATAAAAATTATGAAAAAAAAAAACAAAAAAATCATTGATTTTTAATTTTTTTGATTTTAAAAAAAATCAAAAAAATCACCAACCCTGCTCTGGGACCTGCTGAACATTTTGATGCACGACTCATCCAGAATCTATTGGTTTTACTATATTAAATCTTCATGTGAACATGAAGATTGGTAATTTTTTGCCAAAAAATTGTATTTTTTCATTCACATCTCAGTTCAGTTGCATGTTTCATGATCATGTTCAAAATTTACACAGGTTTTCTCACTAGTGATATCTACACATTGATGTGGATTTCGTTTCTGAGTTAAAAGCTGGTTAGGGTAATCATGATGATTAAATCATCATTTCATATATCATTGTGACTCTAATGGCATAAAATATTTAACCAAATGTGTCCCTTGAAACTCGTTTTTTGCATATTCTGTACTATATTACCGTAATGGAGTTTGCTGTAATGGAGTTTGCCGGCATGGAGTTTGCCGGCATGGAGTTTGCCGGCATGGAGTTTGCCGGCATGGAGTTCGCCATCATGGAGTTTGCCATAATGGAGTTCAGAGTAATGAAGTTTGCCTGCAAAACATGAGTTTACCATAAAAATGGAGTTCGCCGTAAAAATGGAGTTCACTGCAAAAATTGAGTTCACTGCAAAAATTGAGTTCACTGCAAAAATTGAGTTCACTGCAAAAATGGAGTTCACTGCAAAAATGGAGTTCACTGCAAAAATGGAGTTTGCCGCAAAAATGGAGTTTGCCTAAAAAATGGACTTCGCTGACTCCGAGTTTATAACGCATAAAAGATAACTTCATTGTGACAACAGAAATTCATAGCTAAAATTCATCGCTCTAATTCATTAAGTAATGATGGTTATTGGAGGCAAATAGGAAATTGATGGAAACAATTTGGGAAACGAATGTTTTTTGCAAATAGCCAATGTAGCAGATACGTACCGTCAACTGGGGCTACTCGGGACGGTTTTGAGCATTTTTTGTTAATAACTTCTTACAATGAAACATTTCATAAACAAGTTTAGGCTCATTTTATAGCTCTTTGCAAGGGCTATCGAATGGCATCTTCAAAAAAATTCCATATGCTATTCGTAAGGTGCCAGAAGCAAAAAAAGTGTCCAGCCCTCACCCTATCCTCCCCACAGGTATTCCACAGCTGCAGCTACCACCCTTGTCACTTCAACCTCACTCTGACAGCGCCCTCACCCTATCCTCCTCACAGGTATACCACAGCTTCAACTACCACCCTTAGACCCTTACCACCTGAGCCCCTTTACCTTCAACCAGCTGCAAGGTCCGCTGCAGATGAGCGCCAGCTTCGACGACATCGTCATCACCGGCTTGTCCAAGTTTAACCTCCACTACTTCGAGTAAGTGGTTGCTATAATTTTCCCGTGTACCGGTGAAACAATTCAATTATTCTGAAATCTTCGAGAGCTAGAAAGCATTATAAATGAGCAGAAATCGTTTCAGCGTTACAGGGGACAAAAATATGGGAGGCATTGAAACTAAATCAGTGTAAATCTGAAGTCATATTGATCTTTATAGTGAAATTAAATTTTTACAATAGGAATTTAAAAGCGAAGAAAACACCACAAAAATTTGTGCATATCTCTATTGAAAACGTTTCGGAGACCAGCTCCATCGTCAGTTCTATAAATCTAGAACACAGATAAAGGTAGAAAATTAGTTTGGAGTTAATAAAAAAACACAGAAGTTAAAAACCTAAATTTACAGACAATGGGCAGAATAATAAAGTAAGTACCTATCCATTCACAATTTCTAATGGATAAGAACTGTAGGCAGCATTTAAACTAGGCTTCTCTTTAAAAATATACAATGATTCCAAAATAAGCAGATCGGAAGCACCAGAACTATAAGCTAAAACCTTAAAGTCTGTGTCGGACACTGGAACGTTGCACTGTTCGGCGTGAGTGCGCACAGCCGAATGAGGAGGGCGCGATAGTAACTGCCCAGGCCTATAACTCCTCCCTCTATGCTCAGCGACCCTAGTGTAAAAGTTGCGTGCCGTCATCCCAACGTACGCATATGCACATCGTGCATAACTAAATTTATAAACTAGGGACGATCGCATATGAGAAGGAAGGATATCTTTTTACCTAAAAACGAACCTATTTGAAATTATTCACCAGTAAGATACGAAGAATAATGTCCGGGAAGTATTTCATAAAGAAAACTTTTAATTCTCTTGACATAACTTCGGACGCATGGCCGAACAATAGTTTGTCCTTTCTAGACTGCAATATTACTAAATCTAATGGCCGTTTTCAAACATCTGTTTACAGAAAACCAACTTTCACCGGCCTAAGCACCAGCTTTTTAGTTTTTGTTCGTTTAGATTCAAGTTAAACGGGCTTCAAACACTATTACACCGCGGCTTCCGTATATGCTCGACTTTCCATTCCATGCATTCAGAATTTGAACTTTTGCGCAATATCTTCTCGCTTAATGGATTTCCTTCTGGCTAGGTGTTTACCCAGATTAAGAAATTCATGTCTAAGCGATACAGTGAAGTTGTTCCAGAGCCTGATAGTAGAAGCGTTGTTTACTGTTCTCTTCCATACTTCGGCCATACGTCCGAAGTTATGTCAAGAGAATTAAAAGTTTTGTTTATGAAATACTTCCCGGACATTATTCTTCGTATCTTACTGGTGAATAATTTCAAAATAGGTTCGTTTTTTAGGTACAAAGATATCCTTCCTTCTCATATGCGATCGCCCCTAGTTTAAAAATTCAGTTGTGCACGATGTGCATCTGCGTACGATGGGAAGACGGCACGCAACTTTTACACTAGGGTTACTGAGCATAGAGGAGGAGTCATAGGACTGGGCAGTTACTATCGCGCCCTCCTCATTCGGCTGTGCGCACTCACGCCGAACAGTGCAACGTTCCAGTGTCCGACACAGACTTTAAGGTTTTAGCTTTAAGTTCTGGTGCTTCCGATCTGCGTATTTTGGAATCATTGTATATTTTCAATGAGAAGCCTAGTTTAAATGCTGCCTACAGTTCTTATCCATTAGAAATTGTGAATAGATAGGTACTTACTTTATTATTCTGCCCATTGTCTGTAAATTTATGTTTTTAACTTCTGTGTTTTTTTTATTAACTTCAAACTAATTTTCTACCTTTATCTGTGTTCTAGATTTATCGAACTGACGATGGAGCTGGTCTCCGAAACGTTTTCAATAGAGTTATGCTAAATTTTTGTGGTATTTTCTTCGCTTTTAAAGTTCTAGTGAATCTGCGATTAAAGCAATCTAGTGACTTTTTTTGCCTGAATTTTTTCACAATTGTCGAAAACTAAAATACAAGCAAAGTATTATCACCACCCCTGGCCGATCTTACTTTACCATGAGAAATTTTTAGGAAGCGTCAGATGTTAAAAAAATCTGATTTCTGCGATATTTGGAACTAGTATTAATTAGTATTATATCGTTCTAAATTCAAATATAGCATCTTATGCATCCACTGTTTATCCATAAAATGCATCTATAATAGCAACAGCAAATTGAGATATCAACGTAATTTAAATTACTCACTTTGAAGTTAATTAAGACAGTGTATAGGACCAGACGTTTCGTGCATGGTTTTAAGTGAACGATAACCATCGCGAGAATGTAATATTTTTTTGAATATTCGGGACTTTAATACCATTATTGAGATAGTTACCATTATTTTGGGATCAATTAAACGATCATCTTTATAAAAATTGATTATTGTATTTGCGATGTAATTAAATAATTAATTGATGCACATAAATTGATATTGCTGGCGCTACAAAATGTTCGCAACAACGGCCTAAAATACGAGTTAAAATNACCTGACGCTGTGATTGCGTTGTTTGACGCAGTATGACGCTGAGTCAATGTTGACGTTGCTTATGGGAAGCAAATGTTTTTTGTGGTAGACATCGTGGGATGCAAGATGCATTAGGATATTGATACTGATATTAATATTAAGATATAGGGGGTGCTAGGAACTTCTGGTTCAGGCGGTACTACGAGACGTGATTCAAACTAGTGAATCGGATGAAGAAGAGTAATAGGTCAGGGTATGGGGTAATCTTCGAGACCATCGGTTACAACGTCCAGGCGATTCCTGTACAGCCGTGCTGGATGTGTGAAAGTGTTGTGTGTGAATTTGAGCGATATCCAATAAAAAATTATGAGAAACTGTGATTTGAGCGATATACAATAGATTTCTATCCAAATTCCTTTGCAACAAAGCTATCAATTTTACGTCGATATGTCGTGTTTGTAACACCCGTGAATCTGGTTAATTTCTGTTTGAGGTAAACAGGAAGCCATCAAAGTGGAAAAGTGGACACTTCGCCGATAGGTCAATCTTAGGTTTCTTTATCCTTCACTCGTCGCTCCTCAAACCACCGGGACTGCAATCTAAATTTTACTTAGTAACCGGTTCCTTAGCGGAGGATTATTTACGAAATTGTATTCACTTTTTTACGCAGAGATATTTATCAGCAGAGGAATTTACTGATAATAATGTTCTTCCATTTAATGTCAGTTTTCCCAATTGTTTTATTTGCAGCTGGAACTATAGTCTCAGGAAGATGTTCCTCGGTGCCACAATTCCCACGTTAATTGCGAAAGGCAAATACAACATCATGGGGCGGATCTTCGGGCTACCTTTGCAGGCCGCGGGAGCGTACTCAACTATCATGAGTGCGTATAGCAGTGATAAGTACAATTTTTAGGACAAAAAACGCCAACCTGAGGGCGGGATGTAAGGGATCAGTATGTTTCAGACGACTCTACTTCTTCTCCTTTCAATTGTACCCAAGTGCCTGTTTAAATAAAAATAGCTCCTGTTATTTTAATTTCATTTAAAATTGATTGTCTTCGTTATCCAAATGATTCTCATCGTCCGGGTAGAGTGATGCACCATCCCTGATGTTGCATCACTCTACTGATGCACCATTCCTGCCCTTGATGATAATGGTGATTCATTAGATTTAGATCTTCCTTTGAGAAATAATTCTTAAACAACACCACATCAAAATGAATTTGGTTCCTGATTAGATCCACCACTTCATTTCAGTATTTCGGGGGTGGGGCTTTTGCTGGTCTTCATGTGTGTACTCCGATAACTCTCGTATACTTGATCTTCAATAAGCTATATTTTGAAACAATGGAACTTAGGAAGGTAATGGAAATTCTCAAGCATCCCTTTCGAGATGCATGCACAGGAAAGATTGCGGCGATAGAAGGCTTGAAAAAATCTTAGAAAGGAATGTCCCAGTGGAGAAGCTTCTATAAAACACCGCCACCTGTCTTAATCTGCGCTGTATCAAGCTATTCATAAAGGAAAAAAACATAATTGATTACCTTATTCAATATGTTTGTAAGTCACTATTGCTCCTTCGTGCCTTTAGATGAGGGTCATTTTGTGGTGAGGGACGGTACATTTTATGTCCACCCTGATGAGTTATTCATAACTGCACACTTTAGTTGGTTTTCTGAACAGTAGTACATTTGGTTACGAGGTACAAAGTTTTACCATGTACCTTTACTACATAGACGTTTTACTTGATTGCTCCATGTTATACAGAAGTGTGTTTATTATTGGACCCTATGTAAGTTGTATGATAGTATGCATTTAAATATTTAATACTTTCGACATCTCTGGTTACAGACGGCATTGAGGTCGAAGCCGAGAGCGACTTGGATACCCTAGCAAAATTTTCAGCATATCTTATAATTTAAGGATCTCCTGTTGAATGCATGGAAAAGAGACTCTAATTTTGGCTCAGGCCAGAGAAACAAGATTGCCTGTCCTACGACTGGGCGGATGTTTGTCAGGAGATAAATTCTTCAGGAATAGCTTCAAAGTACTATGTACCTTAACTAGAAAACTATGTGTAATGTGAAATGACTTTCTAGATACCTACTTTATATACATTACCTACATCTTTCACTAAAATAATGTTCGTTTCATTTGCTTGCATTTCTTACCGTTTTACGTAAGTTTTTTTTTAAATTAGAAGAGGGGAAAATTAATGTGTCTGATGGTAATTTTATCTTGACTAACTTTAACCTAACCAATATAAAACATAGGCTCCTTATGTTTTGAAAAATATGGGACAGAGTTTATTCAATTAAAAGTAGCTTCGACCCAAACATTTGAACAAATAATGATAAAATTGCAAAGTGATTGAGAGATTTCAGTATAGTTCTAATTAACTGATATAATGATAGTTTCCACAATAACTTGCGTTGAAAATTAATTTAATCAATTTAAAAAGATATGGATCTGTAAAGAAGATAACAAAGCGTTAAATTTGGGCCATTCTCATCCAAGCTAAGTACATTTACACGTAATTGGTCCTGTGCTAATAATATTTGCTGCTGTACGAAAAATGTGGGGTCGCCCCGGCTTTTACCCGCGCCCTCAGTCCGCGTATTGACATTGATGTCTACACAGCTTATACTTATATCCCAGAAAAACGCGTTATGGGGGGTACGATTTAAGTTTTTCGCTCATATCTCGGCAACGGCTGCTCCGATTTTGTTCAAACTTTTTCCACTGCCTTGTAAACTAAATTGTTTACCTTTTTATTTAAGTTTCAAGACGAAAAAATTTTTCTTCATAATAAAAATGATGTGTAAACGAGAAAATTTGGTCGAGCTCTAGAAAAAATCGCAGTCTCGCGTCCATATCTCCTGGTAAAACCGATGCCTTTTAATTAAACTTCATATGTTTCATATGTCCACGCGGCTAGTCCTGATAAACATTTTGATGTATGATTTGATTTGGAAAAGTTTTTTCAGCATATAATTTTTTCATGTAAACTTGACGGTCGGTCAATTTTTGCAAAAAAGGGCAGTTTTTCGTCCATATCTCAGTTGCTAGTTTCGTATTCATGTTCAGACTATACACACGTTTTTTCACAAGTGATATCTTATATATTGATATTGGTTTTGTTTTTGGGATATTCGTATTTCCAGAAAAAATGACTGCCAAAGTTGCGATTTTTACGTTTTTTCCGCATTTCGGCATAACTTCTTAATGAGGCATCCTATCTATTTCGGGTTTTTTAATAACGCTTTATTACATTAAAGCTACGCGACGATGGGTAGCACACGTCACAGCTCCTTCTAAAGCGGCCGCAGTTTGTCGTTGAAAATGGCGTGCTGTGAGTTTGTCCACGTTCCGCGAGATCTATCGCAATGGTTCCGAAACTTGTTTATCGTATCTTTCCTGTATAGGTGGTGAATAGCGCAGTCTCTGGTAAATAATTTGGTGTGTTAATATATTTTCTTTTCTCATTTTACTGTGAGACTGAACGGTTTAAGTGAAATTGATTGTGAGATTATCTGTACGAGGATCGAATTTTTGATCATAAATGGGGCCAGTATTGAGATTCATGTCGATTAAGTTATATCTTACTTCATTGCGACTTCGATAGCGTTAATATCTTTAGTAAATGTCTCCTGTGACTTGTTTTTTGGCCCTACTTTATGACTTTTTCGGATTACATGGCGTTGTGTTCGATCTTTCGTCATTTTCGGCCTCGGTAATATCCAGGTTCATCGTAGATTCTGATGAAGCCCCATCCGCAACAACTTGCGGCTCGGTCTTTCGTGCCCAAGTACGAATGGTTGAGCCGCCTTTCGCGCGTCTCGCGCGGGTTCTCCTGCAGACGCGGTGGGATCAAAATGGGTCCTTTTCGCAGTTCGATGGGACGCGCCAGGCGAACGGCAGGTTAAGTACCGGACACCAGGTTATTTTAATGAATGTAATGACTGAGGACCTCTGTTTAAACCCAGACATAGCTGATGGAATCTGGGGTTAGGTGAGCCTCGACAAACTATCTTGGGGAAACTAACGTTAGGTCAGGGACTCCGGATTGTTATTTATAATGAAATTCTGACCCTGTTACACTCAGTTTGATGTTGGGTCCCTGATGCTGAGTCCCAGCTTAATGGAAGACGCTGCTAAGATAAGATATGATAACCAGAAGATAACAATATACCAGAGAAGCACATTAGAATACCACATTAGATAACCATAGTAAAAGTCAGACTACTTAACCAGATTAGGAAAACGCGCTAGATAAAACCAAAACCGATCGCTTCCGTGTTGGATATTTTAATTCGTATGCACAAGCACGAAGCCGTTTAGCTTCCTCAAGTCTCGCACGCAAAGTTTTGCTTAAAGTTATTTCATTGCATTTCTTCAGGGAGTTTTTGAACGCGCACGGAATGAGTAATGCGGACTCCAATGAAATTGGGACCCAGAAATGTGGTTTGAATCATCTCTGTGGCTCTTGCATGAATAATAACAATATGAGCCTTATATTAGTGTATTTTTAGTCAATTTTAAGTAAGTGGGATATAATTTTTTATAATATAATTTAAATATATATATTATGATATAATTTAAAGTGTTGCTGTGCAAAACTTTAGCGTGACCTCCCTTTTCAGCGGAAGGAAAGATTGTATTACACTCGAGAAATAATGAGAAGAATACAATTTACAATAATACTTAATTTACTGAATCTCAATTGTGTTAGGTGAACACAACAGTTAAGAAAAAAAGAGGATTGGCCCGAGCTGCTGCCCGGTGGAAGTCCTCGGATAATCGAGAGCTGGCTTGCGCTGGCTGGATAGAGAAAGCCAGCTAGGTAGCACAGAGAAACCGACACGCTATGCTCCGTGCAGCCCATCCGATCAAAAGAAATGCCAACTGATTTTAATGAAACGAATGCCAAAATAAAAAATTAGAACAAGCCGAATATTAGGGTCCGAAATATTATCAAGTGCTTAAATTTACGAACCTAGCAGCTATATGCTCTTAAATTTTGATGGTCATCGCTAAATAAGAGATTTTTATAACAAATTGGCTTTCTAAGGAATATATATATTCAGATGAAAGACAAGAAGGATTTTATTATTTGGGTTGAGAGTAGTGAAGGGGAGACGGTTATCCATAATGGAAACAGGCCGGAGCCACAAATCGCCACAACAACCTGAGCTTAAGTGACGGGCAACCAACCTGCAGCATCCGGTCCTCTCCTCAGCTCTCGCCGAGGCCCGTCCTCCGTAAGAAGACGAGCTGATGCCGAAGTCCCCAGATCGTCCCCACACCCCGCGGCCGCCACCTCAGACGAGACGCACGCTATAGGTCTCACTCCATAACGTAGGTGTGGAGGACAAAACGTGAAGGTGTAGCGTAGTTGGCAGTCGTAGGAGTCTGGCTGGTGGGCTGTATCTGAATCTGACTAGAGGTTGGAGCTTAGCTTCTATCTTCAAATGTGGATTTGAAGAAATGCGGAAGGTTGCCCACACCATTTTAAGAAATGTTGGGAAACTGTAGCCGGCCAAATGAAATCACAAAGAACTGAAATTCAAATAACAGTCTTCCAACTGGAAATATATTAGTTAAGATAATAATTGTATACAGTTGCATCGTAAACACGTTAAGGTTGAATAGAACGTGTAATGATTGTAAATTTTCAGAATTCGTTCTGACAACATCGACCCAACAATTTCAAGGGCATGTCTCAAGTTCAAGTTATTTGTTGATTCGTTGTGAAGCCAGCAGTTTTGGTTCATGGTAAGCGCCTAGACTAACTATTGCATGATATATTGTGTGTCCAATAAGTTAATAATTGCGTATAATTGTCTTGTGTTTATTCGCTTGTTCTTATAATTATGTAATTAAATGCGTTTGTTTGTAGGAGTAAGAATTCCATCCGTCAATGGACTTTTCTGCTCTGTTCCTCATTTCTGATTCAATAAATTTACAAACTTGGACCAATCCCAATGAACCCCAACTGAACCATCGGAGATTGCCGCCAATAATTTAAGTAGAATCTGAAGTAATAGAACTCGTAACAGAACGACATCCTTTCAAGTGAGTGTGTTAATTCCGGTGTACCTTGAACCGGGTGTTGTGACCGACTTCGAGAATAGAGAAATGTCTCAAATTTCGCTGAAATATGATTGCTAGCAAAAATTTAATTGAAGACATCGCCTTAGACACCGACCTTGTATCGTCGCGACATACTCCAAGTGTGATCTGATACCGTAAATACCGCATGTTTCATTGTCCTTACTTTCTTGTCTGAGCGTTCCGATCACGAAAACCTGGTGAATATTGTACCTACCTAACGATTACGGTGACTCCGGGATTTTATGAAATAAATCTTCGACGTACAAATCGAACCGATTTGCCTGTGCTTCGATATCAGAAATGCAGGGCTGACAAAAGTCTAGTGAATATCCAGCTCCGTAATTAGGAATATAATCATTCAGTAGATTATTTATTTATTTTTTGCATAATGACTTATCAGTTAAATCACATATAGCAAACAAAGTCGAGTCTACAACTAATTTCTTGGAATAATATACCAAGTTTTACAATGTAAGAGAGAAGCTACTTATTAAATTTTTTGTTCNTTTCGTTATGCGAGTTATTCGGAAATAGTTTTCATTCCATTATCTGATAGGAGCTCGCTCACGCTGCTCAATCGTCTAGTAATAAGTTAGCAATCATTTATTGCAGTGTCGCATTACTCGATGATATATAGCCAGCGTTGACCGAAGTCTCGGGCATTCACTCAACTTTGTACCCCCACAGTCGCGCCGAGGGAGCGGAGCCGACAACGACGCAGCGAACGCTTCCGTGGCTACCAGAGTGACGCCCGAGTGAAGCAAACGACGACATGGAACACATGTAAGATAAGATTTTGTGAGCGAAA